ATAAAATAATTAATATTTATAATATAATAATTTAAAATTAATTTATAAATTAATATTTTTAAATATTATAATTAATTATTTAAAAAATATAAATTACTAAAATATCAACTAAAATTTTATATACTTAATTAAAATATGCGTGAGAATAACCACCACCACATAGTGCTCTCATGATTCGTGATGGGGAGAAGAATGTCTAGTCTTTTTGCCAAAGGAAAACAGCTTGCTCTCAAGGACCAAAAGGAGATCAACCTGTCCCCACTCCAATAATTGTACAATTATACGATCATTGCTTCTTTTTGACCTTTGTTTTTGACCTGCGCACTCTCAATTCAATTTATGTGTACCAGATCAAATCAAATCTTCAGTCCAAACTGAATTATTTTATTCAATGTAGGATTAAGAAGATTGAAAATTTATCTTTGTGCCATTTCTCAAGAATTTTGTTGGAGCATGTCTTTCATTTTCTAATTTTGGACTTTATACCAAAGATCATCTTGACCTAAACTATTTGAGGGGGCCTCTCAGGTGAACTTTTCAAGAATTATGTGATGGGAGTAGCAGGCTTCTTGCGTTGGACCTAATTAAGGGGGTTTTCAATTCTCATTAGAGAATTTATTTGCTTGCCTCTCTCACTGATGGTGTTATTGCTGCTTGGCTAACTCAAGTTTTGTTTATGAGTGATCAGTTGATAGTTGTTTAGTTAATTAAATCCTCTAATTTCTTTGAAAAAGATTGAAGCCAGTTCTCATATAAAAAGAAAAAATTAAAAAAAAAAAAAACTAAATCAGTTAATCATCTATCCAACAGTAAATTTTAGAATCAACTCGACAACGAGTCAGGATGTGGGAAACAAACATATTGACTTTTCTCTTTCTATTCCTTACATTGAAATCAAACATTAATAAATAGGCATAAAGAATGAAATTTGGACCAAAACCCTCCTTGAATTTTTCCAACCTACTTACAGCTGTAAAGTTTAAAAGACAACAAAACAGATGACTATGGAGGTCTGTGGGGCTTGGTTTTATTATTAAATAAAAGAAAATGGAAACAAACATTCATTAGACATCACCATGTAAAACATACTGCGTGCTTTCTTTTTAAGCTTCTTCCCCAGCTTTTTGTACTGTCTTTGGCCCTTTTTTGACTGAAAGTGAATAAAACCCCCGCATTTTTTTTCCAACAAAAATGAAATCTTAGTCTCAGTCTCAGTCTCAGTCTCTCACACCTTCATCAATGTTTCAATGTATCTCTAATAAAACATGAAATTCAATCGTTAGAAGCATCTTTTTTATTTCTCTACTTTGCCTTATGGTCTCTGCAATTTTCTAGCCTCGTCTTTATTTATATTATATTATAGAAAAGAAAAAAAAAAAAAAAGAAGACGCCTGCTCCAATTACGTGGTAAATGGGACTTAGTTGGAAGCACGTTATATTCAGCCTACTTTGTGGACTCCCTAATTTTTAGTTTTCTTTGTATAGAAGTTTCAATAATGTGAGGAAAAGACCACAAATTGAAATGCAAAAACTTCATGTGTATTCACGGGTGATTAGTTTAGACAAACCGTACTAAGAAAACTCCATCTTTAAGAATTGTGGTGTTCATTTAATAAAATTATTTGCACTTAAATAATATTGAAAGAATTCAAACTTATATTTTTAACATAATGCACATTTCACAAATGTATTCATATTAATTATTAAAAAAAAAGAAGGAAAAATGAAAAACCGAATGGCCCCGGCTGGGGGACCAGAAGGACGTTTTGTCTTCCAGCCCCCAGCCCCCAGCCCCCAGACCTGAGAGGAAATGCAGCTCTGTGTCCATGGCCCCAAAAATCAGTGTCATATCTGGCCTTTCCATTGCACATCAATTGCGTGAATCAAATAATTTCGGTGTTCCCAACTTCTTATTGCTGCATATATATCCAGCCTCTGTTATAAAAAGTTAATGTCTGGTACAACCCAATTGGCATCCAATGTGTTAGGGACCTTCGAGAAATGCCAAAAACCCATGCCATTTGAGCCACACCTCATATAATATGTAACCCCACATTAACATTTCAACTATTTGGTTTAGTCAATGAAGCCACTCCAAGAAAAGAAATGATTAATTGAAACAAAGAAACGTCCAAAAAATAAGGACACAAGCTTCTCCCAAATTCATAATTGAAGGTATGGACTTTGATGGTTTTGAAATGAGGACCTGATCTTTGTATTAATAGGAAATAAAGTCTTATACCAATTGTTACCAGCTAATTATTGAATTACCAATGAAACTAATAATTGTTGAAAAGAAAAGAAGTTAATTTGTGTGATGTCACCAGCTAATTTTTCATCTAAATTATTCTTATTTCCAACTAGTGCAATATCCTAACCTTATTTTCCACTCAATACAAATATGGTCTCCATATTTCAAAATGATCAAAGTTTTAACCTCCAGTTTGAATCTAGTAGAAGTTTGCGTCCTTATTTTTAAGTTTTCCTTAAATAAAGATAGATATGAGAAACCAATGGTTCTCTTTGGCCTTCCACCCAAGGAAATCATTGAATCCAAACCCTTCATGTTATTGTGTACCCATCAGGCCACATGCGTGATTGGCATAAATGAGAAGTTTGACGCTTAATCAATCAGTACGTAAATTTTGGAGAGTTGTGTAGTAAAATGGACAAGACAATCTAACATACTAAATGAATAGAGAGCAACTTATTTTCATTACCATTTGATTGTTTACCTACTTAGGCCCCCCTAACAAAGACTTCCAAAGTGGGACCATATAAGTAATTGAACCTTGAGCCACAGAAAATGCAAATATGTATGTGTAGTTTTCACACAAATATAGAATCCACATATATAGAATCCTGGATGAAAATGG